ATAAAAAAATAAATTAAATAAATTACATAAAAAATAAGAACTTTTAAATAGTTGATTTGATATTAACATTGATATATATATTTTTTTCAAATTTTTATGATATCTACAAATTTATATTTTATTCAAAAATAAAATTATTATTGCTTTCTTAAAAACACATAAAATCGTATTATAATATCGACAGAGACAAATAATAAAATAGAACATTAAAATCGAGATCTGTCTCGTTGCATTGCGCAAATACTCTTCTAATGTGTGTGTGTGTGTGTATATATATATATATATAGGGGTCTAATCAAATGAGAACTAACTAGTTTGTGGTAACCGTGAGATCCAATCTCAACCACAAATCAATAGATAAATTAGGAAATTTATAATTTTGGTAATTTTGAATTAAAATTTTAATTCAAGGATATTTTTGGTATTTTAAAACTTTCCTCTCTCCTCTCTTCTCTCTCCAGCCACCGTCCTCTAGCCACCGTCCGCTGGCCACCGTCCTCCGGTGATACCACAATGGTATCACAATGCATCATATATGTGTTTGGGTATCACATTGATGTCGTTTGTGTGGTCGATAGAAGATGTAACACAGTGGTATCACTATGCATCTTATATATGATTAGGTATCACAATATATCTTTTGTTTAACAGAGTCAATATTTTTAGGTATCACAATGGTATCATCGGAGGCCGAAGAGAGAAGAGAGGAGAGTTTTAAAATACCAAAAATATCCTTACATTAAGATATTAATTTAAAATTACCAAATTTATAAATTTCCTAATTTATCTATTGATTTGTGGTTAAGATTAGATCTCACGGTTACCACAAACTAGAGATGGCCAAATCGGCCCGGCCCGGCCCGGCCTGGGACTGGTAAGGACCGGTTATGAGACCGACTATGGACCGGCCCGGCCCGAAAATTCAAATAATTTTATAAATAAATGTATTTTTAAATAATTTTATAATGTATTTTTATAAGAAAACGTAATTTTAATTATATTAAAACGCATTTTTAAAGTGTATTTGAGTGACCCAATTGTAAATTTTATAATATATTAAAAATATATATCATTAAAATAATAAAAATAAAAATCTTATTTTTTTAATGCAAGGACCGGTTGGGACCGAGACCGGGACTGGCGGCCCATAACCGGTTATGAAGTACCTTGACCGGTCCTATCATTTTCAACCGGGACCGGGACCGGTTACACCGAGACAAGTTAGGCCGGTTATGAGAAAGGTGAGGACCGATTGGGACCGGTCCGGGACCGGTTTTTGGCCATCTCTACCACAAACTATTCAACTCTTCCTTGAATCCCTATATATATATATATATATATATATATATATATATAGATTTGGAATCATGTGAGACCAATAGTTTTTCGTGAGACCTGTAAGACCAATTTTCAACCCTTGGATTTGATCTACAATCGTCAGATCTGAACATTCATAAACGCCACGAGATTTCGCAATAATTACAAAATTGTCTCCTTGCAACTTTAGACCATTAGATCATATGCTTATAAAGTTGATCAATGAACATAAATTGGTCTTACGGATCTCACAAAAAACCTTTGTTCTCACGTGAACCCAACCCTATATATATATATATATATATATATATATATAGGTTGAGTTTTGATTTGGGCCTAAAAAAAAGATTACCTTTGCCATGATTGATCGTCAATTTGCTTAGCCTCACTCGCTCTCTCTTTCGTCCTCCCAACTCCCGCCTTGCTCATGAACCGATTCACGAATCGAAATCTCAAATCACCACTCTGAACTCACGATTCACGAATCGAAATCTCAAATTAACACTGTCGGCTCTCGAGTCTCGCTCTCGCTCTCTCGCTCTCGAGTCTCGACTATCGACCGGCGACCGCTCAAAATCTGAATACTTGTGACTTGTGAGGTTAGGGTTATTTACTTTACTTATTTTATTTTTTATGTTTCTAATTCTTGCTTGATTAATTCATAATCTACATGATGTTGCCCACTTGCCCTCCATACTTAGGTTTTCTTTTAAGCTTTAAAGCTGTAAATGTAATACTGTATGTATCATGTATGCCTAATTGCCTACTTAGGTTTTCTGTAATTTAAACAACATTACAAATTTAAAATGAAGCTGTCCTGCCCCCCTGTTTTCTGTATTTTGTAAACAACATTACAAATTGGAAGATGTAATATACTAATACTGTATGTATCAATGTATGCCTAATTGCCTACTTAGGTTTTCTGTCAAGTGTCAACACTAGTTAGGTTGGGACTTGTGGCTGTTTTGGGGTTGTTTCGTTTTGCAATTTCTAAATAAAATCCATGAAATGTGTCGGGTTACTCACTTCTGTTTGCAGACATTGCTGTGTGTCAAACAGTCAAAGCAGCATACTATTGTTATTAATTGATCTAGTTGTTCATTGCTTCAATCAAGCCTATCTCTGGAGTTTTCATTCTTTGTTCTGTGATTAATATTCAAGTTATCATCCACCCATTTTTGTTCTAATCCCATTAGATTTTGATGTATATTAACACAATTTCAGCAGCTATAATACAGTTGAACARACCTATAAATGTGCAGTAGTTAAGTGATGATTTGCCCTCACTTGAATGTGCARTAGCTAATTCACTTGAGTGTTCTCCCTTAACTTTGCAATTTTACATATGAAACTCATGATTGTCATTGGTCAAGACCCTAAATATGATTATATGAAACACATGATGGACTAATAGAGTCATGCAATAGCTAATTTCATAGGCAAACACCTTAAGTGACTAAAACTAGGAGGACARAATTAGTGAAGTAGGAATGAGCCATTGATGTTGTAGAGTGTAAATAATTGAAGAAGAACCAACCAATTAAGTGTTTAGAGTTGGATTGAAAAGGTATGAGTGTTGATTTTGGTTTATACAGAAGATGTAGGATGTAGTAAATGGGGACAAGTAGACGAGTTGGTGTTATGATGCTCCTTATTTTGGTTTTGGACAAGTAGATGAGTTGGTGTTTAAATGCAAGGGTTATAACAACTTGATTAATGAAACCTTAACATATTATTTTAAAGCAAACACTCAACTATAAGATCACACTTATGAACAAAAAACACTAATGGATCTCTCGGTCTACTAAGAAAAAAGCTAGACAATTGTAAAT